AGTAATGTTGCAATTAACATAGGTGTGAAGATATTCCTTCAAGATACCGACTTCAGCTTCTTTGCACACATAACCAGGAATAGGATTGCTGGGTCACAGGTAGTTCAATTTTTACTTTTTTGAGGAATTGCCATTATGTTTTCCATAATGGTTATACCAGTTTACATTCCCACCAATAGTGTTTAAGGGTTCCCTTTCCTTCACATCCCTACCGATATTTGTTATCTCTTGTCTTTTTGATAAAAGCCATCCTAACAGGTATCAAGTAATATCACATTATGGTTTTGATTTGCATTTCCCTGGTAATTACTGATGTTGAACACCTTTTCATATACCTGTTGGCCATTTGTAGGTCCTCTTTGAAAAAATATCTATTCAGGTTTTGGCTCATTTTTAATTGGATTATTTTCTTTTTTTGCTATTAAGTTGTCTGCGTTCTTTATGTACTTTGGTTATGAGTCCCTTATCAGACATGATTTGTGAATGTTTTCTCCCATTCAGTAGGTTATTTTTTCAATTTGTTGATTGTTTCCTTTGCTCTGCAGAGCTGTCTAGTTTAATATAGTCACACCTGTTTATTTTAGTTTTTACTGCCTGTGCTTTTGGTGACTTATCCAAGAAGTCATTGCCTAGACCAATGTCAAGGATCTTTACCCCTAAGTTTTCTTCTAGGAATTTTATGATCTCAGGTCTTACATTTAAATATTTGATCCATTTTGAGTTAATTTTTGTGAAAAAGGTAGGGGTCCAAGCTAAGGTTTCATTCTTATGTATGTGGATTTATGTATATAGGCTCTCTGTTCCATTCCTGTATGTGCCTCTTTTTATGCCAGTACCATACTGTTTTGATTACTGTAGCTTTGTAATATGGCTTGAAATTAAGGATTGCAATGCCTCCCACTTAGTTCTTTCTCAGGATTTCTTTGGCTATTCAGGGTCTTTTGGGGTTCCAAACTAATTTTAGGAGAGTTTTTCCTATTTCTGTGAAAAATGTCATTGGAATTTTGATTGGGATTGCATTGAAACTGTAGATCACTTTGGGTCATTTTCACAATGGACATTTTCACAATATTAATTCTTCCAATTTAGGAACATAAGGTATGTTTCCATTTATTTGTGTCTTCTTCAGTCTCTTTCATCAGTGTCTTATAATTGTCAGAACACAGGTCTTTCACCTCCTTGGTTAAATTTATTCCTAAGTATTTTATTGTTTTTGATGCTCTTCTAAATGGAAATGCTTTCTTAATTTCTCTTTCAGATAATTTGTTGTTACTCTATAGAAATGCAACTGATTTCTATATGTTGATTTTGTATCCTACAATTTTACTGAATTCATGTAATAGTTAAAACAATTTTTTAGTTGAGTTTTTAGGGTTTTCTGTGTATGAGATCACCCATCTGTGAACAGAGATTATTTTACTTCTTTCTTTCTGATATGAGTGCCATTTATTTCTTTTTCTTGCTTAATTGCTCTGGCTAGGACTTCCAGTATATGTTTCATGCATCCTTGCATCCCAGAGATAAATCCCACTTGACCATATGTAAATGATCCTCTTATTGTGTTGTTGAATTTTACTTGCTAATATTTTTGAGAATTTTTACATCTATATTCATCAGGAATATCAGTCTGTGATATTCTTTTTTTATAATGTCTTTGTCTGACTTTGGTGTCAGCATAATGCTGGCCTCATAAAATGAGTTTGGGAGTGTTCCTTCTTTTAGAATTTTTTGGAACAGTTTGAGAAGGATTCATGTTAATACTTCCTTGAAGGTTTGCTAGAATTTACCAGTGCAAACCATCTATTTCTAGGCTTTTCTGTGTTGGGAGGTTTTTTTATTACTGATTGAATCTCCTTACTTGATATTGGTTTATTTAGATTTTCTGCTTCGTGATTTAATTTTGGAAGAACATATGTTTCTAGGATTTATCCATTTATTCTAGGTTATTCAGTTTGTTGGCATATGAGTGTTCATAGAAGTCTCTCATAATCCTTTGTATTTCTGTGGTATCGGTTGTAATGTCTCCTCTCTCTCTCTCTTTTTTTTTTTTTTTTGAAAGGGGGACAGAGAGAGAGAAAGGGCTGGTGGAGGGAAAGAAGGAGAGGGAGAGAGAGAATCTTAAGTAGGCTGCATGCCCAGTGCGGAGTCCGATGCAGGGCTCCATCTCACCACCCTGAGATCATAATCTGAGCTGAAATCAAGAGTTGGATGCTTAACTGACTGAACCACTCAAACACCCCTCCTCTTTCTTTTGATTTTACTTTTTGAGTCTGCTTCTTAGTTAATCTAGATAAAGGTTTATCTATTCAAATAATCTGTTCTTAATTTCATTGCTTTTGTTCTGTTGTTTTTCTGTCTCTATTTCTTTTAATTCTGCTCTGATCAAAATGAGAGTATTTTGAATTTGACTATATATTCATCCTCACCAGTGAATTTTCTACTTTCCTATGTTTTCATGTTACTATATATATATTTATCTTGAAGAACTCTCTTTAGCATTTCTTGTAGGCAGGTCTATTGGCTATAAATTCCCTCAGCTTTTGTTTGTCTGGGAAAGTCTTTACCTCTCCTTTATTTCCTAATGACAGCTTTTCTGGATAAAGGATTCTTGGTTGATGGCAGTTTTTTTGTTTTGTTTTGTTTTCTTTGAGCCCTTTGAATATATAATCCCATTCCCTGCAAGTTTTCTGCTGAGAAATCTGCTGATAGCCTTACTGGGATCTTTTTGCCCATGGGAGGAAGCTCTAGTTAAGGAGTCCCTCCTTGGCACCTGGTCAGTCATGCTGACACTCAGAGCCCTCAGAGCAAAATTAGAGCTGGCATCCTAGACTCAGGTGCATGTGGAACTATCACAGTGCCTAGATCCTGGGGCATAGATGTGCTGGCTGTGGCTCTGGCACTAATGTCTAGAGTGTGGGAATATGCAGATATCCCATGTAACTGGTACCTGGGTCTCAAAGATTCACCACTGTGACTTGTGCCGGTAGGAGGGAATGCAGCAGGGGCAAGAGTCCTGGAATAACAAGATGTGACGGTAGCACAGCCTGAGGATGTGGGTGAAAGTCTCAATTCTGGCAGCAGTACACTCACAAGATAGCAACAGCACAACTCTGGTAGTAGTCTGTTTGAGGTACATGTAGGGCTCCAGGGATCTGGGCGCAGGGCAGTGGCCACACTGCCCTGGCAATGACATTCTAGAGCTGCAACCCAGGACCTGGGGGGTAGGGTTAAGGGCAGCAGTAGCCTTGTCCCAGCAATGATAGGTCAGACCCCCAACGTGAAACTTGAGGGATGGGGCTCCGGGTAGTGTCAGTGCCCCTAGCAATGATGGGTCAGAACTGTGACCCAGAACCCATAGGGCAGGGATCAGGGCAGCAAGAGCCCATATCAGCAATGACAGCTCAGAGTCTTGACCTGGGATGGGTGTTCTCGGAGCAGTAGCAGCACAGCCCTGATGATGGTAGCCAAAGTGTGACTCAGGACACAGGAAGTGAGTGACTCATAGGGTAGTGGCAGTGCCCCTGGCAATGATGAGTCCGAGCCAGGACCTGGAAACCAGGCGTAGGAGTCAGGACAGTAAGAGACTGTCTCAGCAATTATAGTTCAGAGTCTTGAACTGGGAAAGTTGTCGGAGGAGGGCTCAGTGCAACAGCATAATCCCCAAAATGACAGCCAACGAGTAACTTGGGACCCTGAGGGCAGGGCTCAAGTGGGGAGAGGTTGCCTCAGTAATTATGGGACAAAGCCCCAGTCTGGGGCTGGAGTGGGCAAAGAACTGTGGCAGCTCCAGTCTTGTGTATGGTGATGTGCTATAGCCCCCCGTCCTTAAGAGTGGGCATATCAACCACCAAGACCCCCAAGGGCAAATCTCACCTCAGCAACAGCCTCAGCCTCTGGGAGCAGATGCGGAGTGGGGCGCTGCAGGCTGCTCCATCAGCTGACACCAGTGTCATTGGGGAGGACTGTGGGAGAACTCTGTAGCAAAAGCTGCATACATCCACAACACCGAGGCTTGCTGGGGTCTTTCAGCTTCTGACTGGGGGATGGGAAGATGCAGGCAAAATGCTTTCTTTACTTTTCTATGCAGACATCCTCAATTTTTTTTAGCTCTGCCAGACTTTTGCCCCCTTTTCTTTGTTGTTTAGAAATTTCCCTGATTTGTTTCCTTCAGCCCATAGCTGTTTATTTATTGTTCTTGGGGTATTTTTTGGTTCCCTTGTTCTTTTTTTTTTTTTTTTTTTTGTGGGGAAGCAAGTGTTGGCACCTCCTAGCCCTCCATCTTGCTGATGGCACTCCCAAGTCCCTCATTCTGCAGATGAGGTAATAAGGCCCTGGGACATAACATGTTTTATTCAGTAACATCCCACTTTTTTTTAAAGATTTTATTTATTTATTTGATGGAGAGAGACACAGCGAGAGTAGGAGCACAAGCAGGGGGAGTGGGAGAGGGAGAAGCAGGCTTCCCGCCGAACAGGGAGCCCAGGTGCGGGGCTCAATCCCAGGACCCTGAGATCATGACCTGAGCCAAAGGCAGGCACTTAATGACTGAGCCACCCAGGTGCCCCAATATGCTACATGTTTAAGACTGGACATTATAGTGTGAGTCTTTTGATTTTTCTGAGGAATTGGTTGTAATCTCATAGGTACTAAAACAACAAACGAACTTTAAACTGAATATGAAGTGTATTTTTGAACATTTATTTATATCTTGGTTCTATTGCCTCAAAATATTTTCAGCCTCCTGGTTTATGAATAAAAATTCCTATTTGAATACAAAATATTAATGTATTCTTGCTGAGAAGCCATCATGGGAAGTTACAGAAGTGACAAATTAATTGAGCTTGATGGGATTCTAATGAAGTAAATAATTCTTGAAAGTGCTCTATGAAATATGTGGTTGTGTGTTTTCAGTATTCAACCCCAAATAATTCACATTTTGCTGTTTTTACGCATTTCTGAGTTCTGTGCATTTTTAATTTCTCTTCTTTATTTCTTTGTAGACAGAATAACCAGAACATTACAAATAATACTGGAAGTTGTACCAGAAGAAGATTGTCATAAATTATGAATTAATGCATTTGAAATCTTGGCAATCTATGCTTGGCCTTGTTTCTGCCCAAAGGGCTGAAACAAAATGTGGATCTTCACTTCATTTTATGAAAATCCAGAGGATTGCAACTTTGGTGATGGACTAAAGGAATCGGTTATTGCTATTCATATCTTTTAGTGTGTTCAAGTTGGTTTCTAAGAAATTTAGTTATAACTCCATGTAGTTATTGAAAGCAGATATGCTATGCAAGTATTCCATGAGTTCACATGATTTTGGAATTCCTGATACCTACATGAATAGGGGTCCACATAACATATCTAATCATGAACACCGAGATGTTTTCTGTATATATGGCTTTTATAGAAACAATTTTTATATACTGCAGATGACTATACTGTGAAAAGTGTTTTCTACTCTTCTGGGGCGGGGGAACCATACATCATCATTACGGACCGAGGAAAGAAAGAAATTTATTTTATGTTGGCATTGCATTGCTTCCCCTTAGATACCAACTTAGATATCATTCATCTTTTAGTGTGTTATACCCAGAGCATTTTGAACAAAGGACAGAGGGGATATGCCTAATTTTAATGAATACATTAAAGAAGAGTTTCCAGGGGCTATTGTTTGTGAGAAAAATCCAGGAATTATGTCTAAAAATTCTTGATGATTGATTATGTTAAGATTTTTTTTTTACTCATTATCAGGAAGCTCCATGGTTATGGGCCACTTTGTTTTCGTGGAAAGCCCACTTGATCAGGAAAGGATGTAACATCTTTCTTAGAGCAAAGCAATAGTCAGTTTGATATTAAAGGCTCTTAAGCACAATCATTTGCTTCACTAATAATTTACCCCTTGGTAATATAGCTAAATATATGCATTTTTAAATCTTCAAATTGCAATGTCCATATAGGACAGAAATCAACAAGAAAGAGAATACCCAAAATATTATGCCCAACCCTATAATCATATCTATATGCAGTGTTAGTAATTATGAAAATTTTTTTAATCTCATAGCTATTTTTACATGGTGATAAATTTTGACAGTTTGTACATTTCCTTTATATATTTTATATTCTGTTAAAATATCTCTTCAGATGAAACTGTCCAGATTAATTAGGAAAAGGCATATATTTACATAAAAATTGAGGAAGAAATGTCACTGCTAAATAAGATTTACAACTGATGTTTCTAAAATTTTCCACTTCCTTATTTCAGCTTTGTCAGTAATTTCCTCACCTTAATTATCATTCAACTTGCAAAAGAAATAACTGATAACAAATTCACTGAAAGAAGGAGAAACTGTGTGTATATTCAGACAGGTGTTTTTATGCAAGGTTTAGAAAATATTGTGGAATTTTCAAATAGTGTAATATAATGATGGAATGTGTAAACTATTATTTACATATATCCAAGATTAAATAGTCATACCAGAGTATGTTTCATCCTCTAATTTTAAAAGTAACAATTTTTGAAACAACCACACTGATTAAAATCATTAAGAGCTGATATAGGTTCATAGAAAATTGACCAAAGTAGAAATGATGATTTATAATTTGAGGCAATTCCAATTCACTAATTTCAGATTTTGCTCTTGATAACATTTAATACACATCCAAGATTGACATTATTTTCAGCCAAACCTGGTGTTTGGGTCTGTAAGTGAATTCATAAAAATTCCTTCCTTTTTCTCTTACCATCTGGTTTTCAAATTTGATCTGTAGTCTCTGCTTCTTATATCCATTTGTCTGTATCTCATGCCATTCTATTGTTGCTGAGGTAAAAAAAAAAAAATAGATTGTCTTTATATGCCATTTTTTTTAACAGTCTAGGCCCATGTAATATAAACCTGGAAACTCTTCTTAAGAGTTTTTGTGGGGTTTGTTTGTTTTTTTGTTTGTTTGTTTTATCTAATGAAAAAAAATGGTAAAATCTCATGGAGAGGTTTACATAGTTCTTGATTATTCCTGAGAGTAATGTGCTTATAACTACAGTGGCAGATAGGTCTCATTTTATTTCTTTATTTTTTGTTTTAATTTCTCTTTAAATATAACATTATAAAAGCTAACTAGGATACATTCTCATTATTTTTTCCATCATTTTCAAAAATGATTTTTGCATTGTTAAATTTCCGATGCTACTGTAATACCACTTTTAGCCAGACAGAGAGTCAGTCAGTAATTTTTTTTTAAAGTAATAAAGATTAAGTTGTCCTTCAGCTTATTTTTAGGATACATCATGACAAGATGCAAAATTTCTATAATCAGGAAATCAATATTCATAATTTTTATTCAGATGGTATCACATAAAGCCAATTCTATTTGAAAACTTTCCTGAACACTAATATGTATATTTTTATTTATACTAAGTAAAATTTTTTCTCATATATTTAAAATTATATATAGAGAGAATTATATGTAAACCATTACAATATGCTTGCACCATTGTGGATATTCAAATGTTTATATACATATTATGAGTTTATTATAACACAAAATGTAAAAGTGGCCAATACAGTTTAAGACAACTAATATATTATTTTCAAGTGTACTACTTTTTGGGTAACATGGAGTCTCAAGTATTGAATTGTGGATTAAACAGATTAGTAAAGACTTCCAAAGCTAAAACAATTTGATTAAAAAAATGAACTGATTCTCCTTACACAATAGGAATATTTCAGAAATGTTTTTGACTCATTTTTAAAAATGTTAGGTTATTTTTCTGAGATATTTCTTTGATCAGTTGAGGAAAACTAGACTACTATGAATGTTTAGGTCAGCTGGAAGTAGACCTTGTTCTTGTCTTTCTTCAGGAGATTAAAGATTTGCCCTAGAAAAGATGGCGGACTCCAGTACCCAACATAAATGTTCACATATACATATGTGCTTATACTGTATTCTCCCCCATCTCTGCTGGCACAAAAGTAGGATAGGTTATTAGGTTACATTAGCAATGCATGGCAGTTTCTCTAACACTAAAACATGTACGTTGAAACAAATTTCTGGATTATTTTACATGCCTGGTAAAATTGTTTCCCCAGTTGCTATTTGGTATATTAACAGATAGTTAACCTGAGTATAATTACTTAATTTTTTATGAACTGTAATCAGTCTTCAGGAAACTCATTATTTTATCTCTATTTGTAGATGAATGTAATGCCAACCAAGAAAGAGGGCATCTTTGACCTATAGTGGATTTCTTATAATTGAGGTGTAGGTTATGAAAAGATAGAATACTGAAGGTCAGAGTAGCAGGAAATGAAAGATAGCATGTGACTGGAAGTAATGATATTTTGATGTAACTTATTATGCAGCATAGTCAGAGAAATATTAAAAATTAATTGTCTGTTGTGCATAAGTGGATATCCCAAGTAGCTAATGGAATGTAGCTTCCGTGCCCCTCACTTAGACATGCCCCTTCCAAGGTCCTGTACCTAATGTTGCATTAGGAAATGTGTATTAATTTTCTTGAAGAAGATCAGAAAAATTGTATACATTTCTGGCCCTACAAATTCTGCATCTTTCCCTGTGAGTATGGTAAAATAAACTTCCATTACTTTTTCTAGTAGAAATAAACATGGGCCATTTATAGAATACATTTTTAAATAATAAAGTTTTGAGTTAATTGAAGTATCTATATATAATTATAAATGGCTTTCTCATAAGATATATTTTGCAATATATAAGGAGAGAGTTCAGTTTTGACATATTTTATGATTCAGTTCTGAATGATAGAAAAACAACAAATAGGGTGTTAATTGTAATTCTTTTTCTTAGGAAAGAAATATAGTGATATTTGGGATTTTAATGCAAATGAGTAAAAGACTGATTTTACTTAAATGTAATCTTTCTTCATTTTACCCAACACGATATGCTGTATGTTAGTGCTGATAATTTTTACAGAGTCACATTTTACTTTGTTAACAATTCAAAGTCAGGAATTAAAGCATAACATTGTGTAACTGGCGAGAAACTCGTGGCAGATATAGAGTAGATAATGAGACATCTTGACAGCTTCTGTTTACATAATTTATATGTAAGGTAAAAATTTATTACCCATACCTGTATTTTAGGTTACTGTTCTCATAAACAGTATACCTAAAAGTGTAACCTCTAGGTAGTCTTAGTACTGTTCTTAAAAATGTTATTTTAACAGCCAAGTTTTTTTTTTTATTTTAAAGATTTTTATTTATTCATGAGAGACAGAGATAGAGAGAGAGAGAGAGAGAGGCAGAGGGAGAAGCAGGCTCCCCACTGAGCAGGGAGCCCGATGCGGGACTTGATTCCAGGACTCTGGGATCATGACCTGAGCCGAAGGCAGACGCTTAACCATCTGAGCCACCCAGGCGCCCTTAACAGCCAAGTTTTAAAGATAATCCTTACTTCCTTTTGTTGCATTTTCAAATTAGTTGGTGTCTAAAAATAAATGCTTGGTCTATTTTTAGATTCACTACAAATTCACAAAGGTGTAAATCCTGGTCTCACAGAAAGTTCCCCAGGTTTCCATGTTGTGAGATATTGTCCTTTATAACCTCTTAAGGATATTAGCTTAATCTTTTTGAACAATTTCTGTTTTTTCTTTTAAATGAATCAATGATTTCTTTGTTTTTTGGTCATATTTTGACTTGATAGCTTTGAGATGGGAGTGAGTCTTAATTTAAATTTATACAATGACCCTAGATATCCTTAGTGTGAAACTGCCATTTGGTTTACTTCCTTGGGAGTCCTCACCTCTCTTCTCTTTGTTACCACTGGCCTTAAAATATCACTGGGAGATGATTATCTCAAGTAGTTATCTATTACATGCATGTATTTCAACTACTTGGATCCAGGGTACCTTTATGGTATCAGTAACAGCCTTAACAGTTTTATAGATAAAAATTCTCTCAAGAAAACTCTGGAGCGGTAGGCATCTGAGAGACGTGCAGATGGATGCACTGGTTTGAAAGTGAACATACTTGTTTTTTCTTCCACAGTAACTTACACTACTGACTTTTTTTTAAAGTATGACTTTCAAGCGAATTAATTTATTGGTTAGAAGACTTGTTTGCTGAGTCCTTCCTTATTACCTCTTGAAGTCTTTAAAGGTCATGCTGAAAGCTAGAGAAACAAACAAAAAAGACTGAATCACAGTTATATCTTTTGCAGAAGTGACTGTATTTTGAGCACCTTGGGTGACAATGTACTTTGCACAGAATCTTATGGGAAAACATATTAGGCCTTTCGATGTTACATCTGGGTAATTGGATGGGTTAGGAGGGATTTGACTTAGATGATGACTGAAGATAGACCTCTCTT